GGGGGGGGGGGGGGTGGTCAGGTTTAGGTGTCTTATACACGTAATCACTATTAGGTTATGTGAGACGGATACCTGGTAACATGATAATGATAGTGATATGGGCAAAGATCATTGAGGTTCAGGATCGGCGGAAGGTACTTGGTAACGTTGAATAATACATTGATGTCTTACGTACGGTGGATTTGTATTTCGAATAGAGGAAAGTGAGGTCGTGAGGTCAAATTGTGAACGAGGATGAGGTATGTAGAGGGAAAGGAAATTAGGGATAAGTGGGGACTACTCAGTGGCGGGGAACAATAGTTGACCATTGATATTCGCGAATTGTCAAATTTTTGTTTGAATAAAAAATTGAAAAAAATATTTTTTGGGCGATAAGAATTTTTGTTTTAAGCTATTAGACAATTAGCGATTATCTTCGGCGCGGACACGTAGCTGCTCTGGGGTCTAATGCTAGCGAGTGTTTTGGCGGCCGTGGCACGTGCCATAGTTGACACGGTGTACAGTAGCTACATTGTTTCGCTTGGATATCGTGAAGAAGAGATACAGAGATAGAGAGGCTAGAGTCAGAAACAGAAAGACAGACAGAGATAGGACGAAGAGAACGGGAGGACTGTTGTCCGACAGTATATTTATTGGATAGTCCTTTTGAAACCGGAAGAGAGACATTCGAACTTCCTGGAAACCTGAACGGACTGACCTGACCTGAATTGTTAAGAGACAATCAGATCGGTCGATTCCCATAAAATAAAGAAAATTCATCCTTCTTGCTTGCCCAGTTGAGTTTACACGGAAATTCCACGCAGGTGTCTCCACCGTCAACGAGATATTTTTTTGACAAATGACGCCTTGGGATATTTTTTTAGAAAAAAAATTTCCAAAAATTAGTCGAGCAGAAAGATAATTTTTTTTTTTAGACAGTCAGACGACAACCCTTCACGCTGATCTTCGAAAGGGATTTTTATAGCGTTCAGGCCCGATAGATACCAGCGTACGCTGTTCAGTGTACAGTATAATTTGTGTTGTGATAATAGCGCGTTACGGGTTAGGTTAAGTCGTGAGTGATAAGCACGTGTGTATATACGTATTTCGAGAGTACGGTTAGTAAGTAATACATATATACAATAAAACACCGAGCATTCATCCTCACCGCGAGCACGCACGCATACACACCCATCGTCGCTTAGACTACGGATAATCACAATAGAGTGCACGCATGACAGGCCGCAACGTAGACATCACTGAACAGATATAAATAGAAGTGCTAGATTATGGAGATAGATAGATCCAGATCGAGGACGGATATTGGATAAGGATTGAGAGTGACACAGAAAAGTAGTTTGACAATCAGCATGAACAATCACGAATACGGATGACACACAAGATCCAAGTGATAGAGAATGACGGTCGTTGGGGATCAGCTTTGTGGTAATTTTGGCGGCCGCCAGATGGCAGGTCGGATGCGTACTAGTCACACGCGCACGCGCACAGGGTACAGGTACAACCAGTGCAGAAAATAAAAAGTGTCCAATAATAAAGGGGATTTGCGAGGAGAATGAGAATGAGAGAGAGGGAGACGGAACGAAGCAGGGAGTAAGACAGAGATAGCAAGAGTATGATGTAAGATTGTTGACTGTATATAAAAGACAGAGCGATGGGGATGGTACGGAGAGAAAGTAGTGTGAATAAAAAAACAAAAGTGAAAGTAAAAAAAAAGTAAAATGGGGACTCTGGCTGCGAGTGGTTCCTTTGGCCTGCCGATAAACGACGTTAACGACGAGGGCACGTTTCGTTCCTTAACAAAGTACTTTTATCGAATGAAGTGCTCGTTGAGCCTGAGTACTACCCTCTGGCGAAGTAACACGAGCCCGAATCGAAAGTGAGGGGTGAGTGGGTGGGAGAGAGTACTCTTAGAAAAGAGAAGAAAAAAACAGAGAGGTTAACAATTAGGAAAATGAACAAAGTAACGAAGGTAAGTAGCGAGGTTAGAATAATGAAAGTTCTGTATATATAGGGTGGACCAAAAAAAAAAGAAAAGGACACTCTTTCCGGAGTACTATAGGACTATGGGCTATCGATCATCAAAGCTCCTAATTAGTTGTACCGCAATTATATTGAATTATTCCAAACGAACCACCGCACGAGAGAAATTGCTAGTCGTTAGAGCGTATATAGAGAACGACACATGTGCGTGCTGTTTTGTGATTCTCTTTTATGCTGAATGTTTTTTTTTTAAGTTATGCAACATGCGAACAATTTTTTTATGTGCACTTTGTGAGTCGTTCGGTGTTTTGTCTTTGTACTTTTTTCTTTTTTTTGGTTTTATCTATGTATGCCGTTAAGTTCCCAAGGCGGGTACAGGCTGATAGATATTTGATTTGTAAATTTTGGTAAATTTTGGTTTTTGAATTTTTTTTCTTTGCGTGCCTATAATGTCAAGTGCGTGCGCGCGTGTGCTAGAATATTTTTTGTGTGAAATTTCAATAATTATTTTATTGTATCATGTCAAACAGTAGTGACGTATTATTTATTTGTGTATGCTCTTCTGTGTCTTGCCTTGCTAGTATTTTCTGTGAATGGAGATGGCGTGTGTGTCGTTCGCGTGATTTCTGATAACGTGTTGGGTGTTGAATGATCTTTTTTTTTTAGTTCTGTACAATACCGTCTTTGTTCTACACCTTGACCCTTGAATTTTCAAAAGATGTTTTATTTTTTAGTAGTGTTGCTTTATCTGTTTTAAAACATAGCCGAGTAGCTGAAAGAATGGTCAGTCCAAAAAATCTACACACAACATTGACGGTGCGTCGAGACGCCAGTCGTCCTCGGTAGCCAAATTTATTTTGAAAATATTATAACTTTTTTTTTTCTAATGATACTAATTGGCGAATTTTCAAAATTACGTACAGCATGATCCGATCGAGTTACAAAAAGAAATATTATTGGCTCACGAGAATGACTGACGATCTTTCACCCAGGCATTAAGAGTAAGAGAAATTAAATATCAATGGTATTATATGCTGAAAATATGAAAATTAAAATTAAAAAATTACACAGTTAGGGGAGCGCGATAATATCGTAGTAGAGTTTTTTTTTAACATGTACGCGAGTTATCCACATACGTGTATAGATATACTTGCGTATATATATACACCTACAAGGAAAATGATCTATATTACATAAATATGTGTATTAACAGTCACATGCGGTTTTGCGTATAAAAGCACCTCCTCCTAGCTGTAAAATAAAAGTTTGAGTCACTATATGTCAATTAATAAATTAGTAAACAGATACTGATTCGATAATAACGATTTACTGATACATTATACAAGGCACGGTCGTAAGCAGTTATTTGGAGGAGAAAAAGAGAAGAAAAGGTAGGAAAGGACGATGTAAAAACAAGGGATGGAAAAAGAAAGTGAAAAATGACCAAGAATAAAATTATTATACGTACTACGTGAAATGCGAGTTGTAAGAGAAAAAAATTCTAAAAAATATAGCAGCCTAACAGCTATTAATTTTCGCACGTACACGTTTATGCCATCGCGCAAATTTTGAAGTGGAAATTTCGTGTTTGAAAAATGAATGAAAGTTAGAAAAAAAAAAAGAAAAAAAAAAGAAGATATTAACAAGAGGAAACTTTTAAGAAGAAATGTAAAAACGTATTAAAGAAAAATGCAGCTTGAATATAGGGGTGAGTCGAGCATTTTTCCATTTTCTGTCTGGCAGTATATTCTACTAGAAAGAGATACGGCATGGGAGATGAAATGAGGGGTTGTTAAAAGAGAAAGAGAAAGAGAGAGAGAGAGAGAGGATGCGAGAACGAACCACCCCTGTATTTTCGCTCGCTCGGCAAATAGACACAAAGTCATCCCGTTGGCAAGAGAGAATAAAAGAGAAGCTAAAAAGTGCATAAATAAATAAAAGAAAAGCCACCCCTCCCCCCTCCCGACCCACGAATTCTGATAAGAAGCACTCGTAATGGCGTTAAGCTGCTTAGCTGAAAATTGTCAGGATCTACGACGTATCGCTGCATATTTTCGGAATAAAAATAAAAAAAAAGCAAAGAAAAAAAAAGAGAAGAGAGTGGAGCTCAGAAAATGGGAATGGAGAGGAATCCGCGCGAGGGAAAATAAAGATAAGAATAAGGACAGACAGTTATAGAAAGTGAAGAATTAAAGCATTTTTACATTTTCTTAGCCGCGATGTCAGCCAAAAATATAAATAAAGAATAAAACAAATATCTATTACCGAAAATCGAAAAAAAAAACCCAAAATGACGCGGACGAATAGAAACGATAGTAGAGAGAGAGAGAAAAAAGAACAAGAAGGCAAAAGTAGATAAGCCCAATAGAAACAAGAGACAGACCAGACAGGCATACAGTAAAAAAAGAAAGATATCTAACTGCGTGCCTTCCAGCGAATAAAGATACGATGAAAAAAATCAAAATTTGAAAAAAAAAAAAATTTAATAAAGTACTCATCCTAAAAAAACTTATTAATGTATTCGTTAATGTACCAATTTCAGCCTGTTATCGACAATTACACGGATAATTCGAAATTAATGGTTTTCATACTACTTTGCATACACTACCGCATTCACTGTTACATTATGTAATGCGCGGACGCGTTATCGATTCCTCTCGTAGGTATCGGAACAATCGATCGATCGGGTACAATCGGGTCTGTCGGCGTTTAGCGAAATTCGCTAATTTCCACGTAAAGGAGACTCACGGTAAACCGTGAATGCAGGACGAAAGGGAGCACACGTCGTATTTACATGTAAAATAGTACGTGGCAATATTCTCCTGTATTCTCGTTTCCCACGTATCCCCACGTTAATCGTTCTGTAAAATCATC